ACATTAAAAAGTAATTACTTTCAATATCTCGAAAGAGTGGCTGTGCCCGCGTACTACGTATGAACTTGGCGACGGCTGCGCTTCTAGTGGAATATTTCCGATGTTGGGACAATTTTGAGGAGCAATTCCGCGACGGGGGAGGGGCATTTTGCACTTTTGCTACTTCCCATCGACGTGTCGAGCCATCAAGTGGAGACCTGTGAAATCCTTGTGAAGCCACGAAATGATACCAGCCAAAGTTTCTAGAGACCACTTGTCAGTTCTTGTGAGAAGTGCCCGTCAACTCTTGTAAATTCATGGTGAAATTCATTTCATGAGGTGCTTCATGAGTTTACAAGAGCTGACAGGTTTCATTTGAAGGAGACTTGCAAACCGGAACAAGTGATGCAGGTAAAGTGCAAAATGCCCCCCCCCCCCCATGCGTCCGCGAACTACGCCGAATTTTAATAACGTCTCTGACCAGCACAAGGCAGGATATCCATTGCATTGAATGAAAATATCCCAAGAGCAATGCACTCTACTCCATTTCCAAATGAAGTAGCCAGCTCTCCTTCTCTGGGATCTAGAGTGTACTTTTCTAATGAGTCACGGTCCGTTGTTCACGTGTCCTCAAACCACCGTAAAAGCCCAAAGAACATTCGATGAGGAAGAAAAACGTTCGTGGGTTTGAATTTCATTCCCAGGACATTTGAAACGCGTGGGATCGGCTTTGACGTATGAACCATCTAGTATTTCCGCATTACCGACACTTATCTGGTTGCATAGGCGCCCTTTTCTTTGGTCAATTTCTCTGCAAATGGAGAAAGATGGCTCAAATGAAAGGATAGTGAAGTTGGGGCGCTCTCAGGCTTGGAGGGGCATTTTGCATTTTTGCTATTTCATTTTGTTAGTTCACATTTGATAACAGTCACACACTGCTGAGACAGTGTAAACTCTTGTGCAGTTGCACAATTGCAGGAGTGAGTCCCTTTGATCACTGAAATTAACAGGTCTTCACAAGGTGGCCTGTGCAAGCCTATGTGAGTACCGCTGGGTGCCCCCACCAAGCCGAACTTCACTCAAGTTTGAAACATTTCATCTGGGATATAGCATGGTCATCGAATGTGTTCCAAGTTTTTCGAGTATGAAGTATCCTGTTGGGTGAAAACGAGGCTGAGCTGGCCAGCTGGAGTCAGTTCAGTGCTCTCGGATGTCTGAACTGAGGTCCGAATCAGATCGAATGGACCTTGATTAAATGAACCCACGAAGATCACAGCCGCTGAACTCTCAACCGCGTCGCAAAATCCTTGGCCTCCTGTTCAGAAGCTAAGCTCTAAGCACAGAGATTGCGATCTAGGGGGTGCATGTTATGCTTTACGCTAGCCCAGACCATAAAGCTGGGTTCCATCGAGGTCTTTTCTGGAACAGGAAACTCCTCTCTTCGAGGGAAAGAGCCGCTGGGGCTAAGCTACTTTTGGGAAGGGGCAGAGTGGAAGAAAAGCCGATATGCCACAAGTTTCATGCAAAAAGTGGCTGTCTCATTGTTGTGCTTCAACATAGCCTACTGTCTGGAAGAGCGCTCTTCCCCTTTTCTAACAGGATGAGGTCTTCCTTGATGATATGCCTTCCAGTCCTGAAGTAATCTTCTCCTTATACCGGGGCTTCTTAGCACAGAGAACAGCTTATGGGTGGTTCCTTGAGCTTTCTTAGGTAGCTGTAGCACCCAGATTGTTGATTTACCTTCTTCAACTGAACCAGGTACCTTTTGCACCCACATCACCGCTTCTTCAAGGCGCATGCAGCTGGAAGCTTCTATTTTTGGTGCACAAGATTTGACGGCCGAAGTTTAGTCATCGGTGACGCTAGCCACCTTCTTCTGAGGAAGAGGTCCACCGAGCGGAGTGGTGGATGAGATGGCGAGACAAGCGTGGTCCCTAAATGACGTGAGTGCCTCAGTGCGGAGGCTGGTGAATCGCTCCCAGGGGACCATATTTCCTCCGAAAATGCGCTCTCTCTTCCAAAGTGTTTGGCGAAGATGCTATTTTTTATAGCTTCATCCATTATGATCGTCAGGAGGAAGTCTCCGCTAAAGTCTACTTGTAGTCATAAAGGTTGAGGCAAAACAAAAATACTTCTGCTCAGAAAGTCGACCTATCCCGGGACAAATCGCCAACCACGTCGAGATTTAGATAGACCTAAGCTGCGAAAACTGAAGAGGGAAAGAAAGACCAAACGAGAAAAAAGGTTTAGAAAGGGAATGTGGCTCCTTCATCCTCTGCTCAGAGAAATTTTTTCGTTGAGCTGTTGTGTAACATGCAAGGGCCACTAGCGAGCTGAACCTCCGAAATGCAGACCATCACCTAATCGTAGACCCTTTCCCTTCCTCAGTCACCGCGAATTACTATTTTTACTTGACAGGAGGCATCCCCCCTTCCCTCTCGACTGTCGAATTTTGGAAAAAAATGTTAAGAACATGGCGAGGAGGGGGTCGTACCAGAGAAGAGAATTTGGATGGAGGGGGGGGGGTGACCGTATTTGGGCAAAATTTTTAACAACATGATGGTGTGATATGTTTACCACTGTTTCATTACCGCTCTTTTCTCACTGTACAATGTCAGAAGCTTTCGTGATATCTTATGATATACCCCTGCACTCCCCCCTCCAAGTAAGTTTGTGAGCCAACCAATTTTTTTCTGAAATTTTTGCCCCAAATTTGCAATCTTGCCCTCCCCCCACCTCCACCCTGCGGAGCATGTTCTTATAAACATTTTCATAAGATTTTCCTGATGTTTTCAATAAAAGATATAACAAATATAGCATCAAGGCCGCTCGTTATAACAAAAGCTAGCAGCCTTAATGAACTAACTAATTGACCTAGAATTTCTGCGAATGCCTTTTCATCAGAGCGCTGATAAAAGCAAAATATGGAAAGAAATTTCTGGAATTGGTTCAGCTTACATGATCTTTT